TGATTTTTAAATTGAAAAGTCAGAATTACAGAGAGAAGGAGAGACGGAGAAGGATCTGCTGTTTGTTGGTTCACTACCCAAGTGGCCATAACATCCAGAGCCGAAGCCAGGGGCTTCTTCCACGTGTCCCACGTGGGTGCAGGTCCCAAGGCTTTGGGCCGTCCTCAACTGCTTTCCCTGGCCACGAGCAGGGAGCTGGATGGGAAGTGGAACAGCCGGGATTAGAACCGGTGATCATATGGGATCCTGGCGCATGCAAGGTGAAGACTTAACCTGTTAGGCTACTGTGCTGGGCCCAGTAATGATTCTTAATTAACAAGCCTGAAACTTCCTTGCGCGCGCACACACACGTGTGTGTGCGTGTGTGTGCGTGTGTGTGTGTGTGTTTGTGAGAGAGAGAGAGAGAGAGACTAATCTGAAATGTTCTGTTCCATCTATGAAGGCAAAATGCAACAGGAATATTTTTCTCAAAAGAGAGAAATACTGACACTATGAAAAGGCCGGCTATTGTCTGAAGATGGCCCTTTGTGCATGTCTAGTAAAATAAACACATGGAGTTTCTCATTTAGCCTGACTGCATTAAAACCAATGTGAAAAATACTCTGTACTCACTCTGGCATTCTATGAATTGATGAATAAAAGTGCAGTCCCCGCCACTCTTTGAAAGCAAGTGCTCTAATAAAGAAAGAAACACCTTTAAGGATACGATATTGTTGGTCTTTGAAAACCAACAGCAAAGAGAAAAACGGAAATGTATAAACATAGCTAATTCTGGATAAAATTTGAATAGATTTTAATACATATTTTTCAGTTGAAGATAAAGGACTGAAAATGATAGTTTAATAATCATTAATTTGTACCCCAAATGGTTAGCTTTTAAAGGTGCAGTTTTTATCCAAAGAGATAGAAAAAAATGCACATATTGCTTTAAAAACCTTCTCCCATTTTCAAAAATGTTTCTCCATGAGAACTTAACAAATACCTTTAAATAATGTTAAAAATTTTGTATTTTATTACTACATTAACATTTAATTTCTATTTTCTAACAGCCCCTCTTAGAAGCTAAATATTCATATCAGTCAGGAGATAAAAGGTAAATATGTTAAAAATACCATCAAATAATTCTTTGAAATTGAAGAAACATAAAAAATTCTATATTTATCATTTCACACAGTCTTCCCTTTTGAGTCATTTAATCTTTAATTCATATATTGTCAAAAAGTTACACTGTTGAACTTTGTTCAAATGATTATAACCACTGTCTGTGCACTTTAAATTAAGAGCTTGGCCAACGGCTTTTGTTCAGATAAAACTGAGTTGTTTTCTTTTTTTTTAATGAATAGAGAGAACTAAACCGAACCACAGTACTTCTAATAAGTTTTAGCCCTTTTATTAAAGTTAAATTTATTACTCTGATGCAAATAACTACTGAATTTGGATAATATCTTTCAATGACATATTTGTGTCTTTTTTCAAAAATACTAAATAGATTGGGAAGTTTGAGTGTTAAAGATAAATCCCAACATGTTGACAATCTGAAAGGTGTTAAAACACTAAAACCTGTCAAAAATGGACATGAGTTCGTATCACTCTCACAGGAAAACCTCTGCTCTCCTTATCTCAACCTTCCACATCCCTTGATCAACTCTGCAGCAGAAGCAGACACCTCCTATTCTGACAGTAAGTCACTTCTCTTAGCTGCCTTCTCTGCCCCTACTAAATCTGTCATCATCCTTCAACTAGTTACAAGGCGTGCAGAGCCTCCAGTCCACAGTCATCATCAGTAACAGGGAAATAAAAGGTTCATATAACTCACGTTTTGGAATGATCACTGCATTACATATTTGAGATGTTATAGGGATAAAATATAGCCCTTAAAAAAACCCAATGTTGGGTGTAAAAGAATCCTAAAGTTTATAACTATTTCATAAAGAAAATTTGCTACTTGGAGCCAAGAAGATCAAAACAGCACACCTCAGGAGGGTAGTAACAACCAAGAGAAAAGTTGTTCTACATCATTGCTAAGCTACATGATACTTTCAAACTATACTACATCAGAAGCCAACTAAAGGAATTCATAGAATCTATTTGAAATCAAATTTCAGAGTAAAATCAACAAACGCTGCACAACACCTATTAAAGCAGAAAACTCCACCATTAACTGACAAAGCTAAAAGTCACTTTTGTCTACTTGGATTTTAAAACCTAGACTTCATTAAAATACTTACTATACTGTTTTAGATAAAATTTAAGATCAAGTATACACACATATATGTTTACAACTTCTACAAAGAAATTGCCTATATGTATCAGAGAAAGCTCTTACAGATTACATATATATAAAAGATTTGAATCATGATAATATCACTTGAATTCCGATCTTTGGGAATTAATTTTCCCCAAACTAAAAAAAATTGATAAAACAATCTCAAAGAAATTATATTTACTGAAGGGAAAAGGGTTGCTTATAAATAAAGATAGAGAAATGTAACTTAGAGAAATACTATTAAATTGAGTTTCAATTTATGCATGAGTTTCCTATACATTCTGATTTCTTACACCCACACTGTCCAACACTATAGCCATTAGTCACATGTGGTTGTTGAGTTCTACAAATACAACTAGTTCAGACTGAGGTGTGCTGTAAGTACAAAACATACACACCATGATTTCAAATATAGTAAAAAGAAGCAAAATAGTTCATTAATAATCCTCTAATGCTGATTACATGTTGAAATGCAACATTTTGGATACTGTGAATTAAACATATCAATAAAATTTGTTCTGCCTAATTAGGTTAACTATTTAAACCAAAAAAATTAATTATACATGTAGCTCATATTTTCATAAGGCATTAATATTCTAAATTTTCTAAGCTATAATACTTATTAAATAAGATACAAACGTTACAACACAAAATCTGTGCTTTCAGCAAAGTATATTTAAATAATTTTAAAAAGGGAGCTCATTGGAAGATGTATTACTTTATTATTTAAATAGTAACTTTCATTAAAATCAGGACTCTGGCAATATTAGAATACTTTGTAATTGGCATGTTCCTATATTATAAGCAATTCAGAGTGGAAAAGGGGCCCCATCTTAATCCAAAGTCTATTTCATAACTAAATCTGGTAAAACACAATTTGAGTATATACAGAAATTTACTGCTTAGTTACTCTAAAATATTGTTAATCTGTCTCAAGTTACCCAATTTATCACCCCCGACCCAAATTCCTATACACCAAGGAAATAATAATTATAGTATGGTTTACCTTTTAGTATTTAAAATAACTTTAGTTTTAAATCAAGGTATCTATTTATAACTATTACAGTATGAAAATAATCTACTATTCTGAATCAGTTAAATTTTAAGCAATAATTTTCCAACTCTGTAAACACATCCTCAACACCTGGAGGGTGATGGATTTGATTAAAAAGTACATATGTCAGAAAGAGAGAAACAAGCAAAATAATGACAGAAAACATAAAAAAAATTTAAGCAAGTTATCAGAAGATGATTAGATAATTTCATGTAAGTTTTCTGTATATATTTGACAACCAACTAGTAATTTTTGTGCAATGAATATAAACTACACCTTTAAAAATTCTGAAATTTAAAGTTGAAATTTTAAGAAATCAATTTAGTTTACAAATCACACTTAGAACAAGTAACAATTAGTGATGAAAGTGTTATCCTGAGTTTCAAAACTTATGAAATATGCGATATTAGGCCTTGACTTTGCTATATAGATCTACCTGAGCCTATTTTGCTAGTCTTAATTAAAAACAAGTTAACTGAATCAAACAAAAAAAATATAAAAATCCACCTCTTGACTGACTGCTGCCCAAGAACTACCATGATAATCCCTGACGCCTGGAAAAAAGTACTGAATATGAAGTTCTAGGCATGGATCTTGTTATTTTCCACTTAATGTTTATATCAAAAGTGAGATGACAGGCACATAGATGAGTAAACACAGAACGATATTGCTCCTTTTGCACTGCAAGCAGGTAGTGCAGGATCTGCCTCCTTACCGGTGCTTGAGCAATGCTAGATGGAAGGGGAGGGGTAGAAGAACAGGCATCTTCAGAACTGAAGCATTTTAAAGGCCACTTGATAAAATGTACGTCATGTTATAGTAGGCAAAGCAGTAACTAATAGCTTACAGTTTTTGACAACAGAGAGCTCACACTATGCTTAAAGAATGGTGACAGAACTAAGAAGTAACAAAGGATTTTTCTGGTGGCAGAAATGACTGATTTCATTCTTTGATCAATGAAAGACTGATAAAGAAAACAATCCAAGGGATAGATAAATAAATTCGAACATTAAAAAAATAGGGGTCGGGGGTAAGCGTTTGATTCAGCAGTTAAACTGCCCACATACCACATCAGATTCCTAACTACTCCACTACCAATCCAGTTTTACGGTAAGGTGCACACTGGGAGAATCAGGTGACAGTTAAAGTTCTTGGGTCCACGGCACCCATGTCAGAAATCCAGACTGAATTCTAGGCTTCTGTTTCCAGTCTGACTGAGCCCTGGCTGGCGCAGGCACTTAGGAAAGAACTCGCACAGCACCTTCCTCTTTCTCGCTCTGCTTTTCAGATAACATGGGGTAGGGTGGGAGCAGGGGAGGATGCTCAGCAGGTGCTCAATTATCTCCTAGAAGCAGAACCCAATGGAACAAAATGGTAATATACCTCTTTGTAAAATACAATAGGGACTAGGAAGAGCCTACACGGACCAGTAATACAGTTGAACTTCGTCATTTTCCTATTATTTGAATAGTTAAAATTTCCATACAACAAGGAATATCTAGGAAAATAATACAGTAACATGTCTTACAGAATAAAAGGAAACCTGATTTTGAAAGATGGAATTCAATGGTCTGTGAATAGCATGCATTTCATTCCAAATACTTAAAACCCTAGGCTACCTATCCTGCTTAAACAGTAAAAGGAAATCACGGGGGGAAGAATTTAAGTTTTTTACACTACCTTTTTCTCTGCTCCCATTTATTTTAGGTAAGAAGTCATCAACTTGTATCCCTAGGATTAAGACAGTATATCATTGCCTAATCAAAGAAAATATGACTTAAAAGTGGTCAAAGTGTAACCATGGCATTTTATATTTCAATTCATACTAAGACTGTACTGAATGAACATTTTAAATGTATTTTTACAAGAAAAGCTCAACTTGCCATTTTTCCATTAATTTAGAGTAAAGGTTCCAATTCCATAGCAGCCTTACACTGAACCCCAAAAGAAAAAGGATCCTGCCATTCATGTATTGTTCTTACCTACAGATCTCAAAGGAAACACACAGAAATTCCATTCATCTCAAGGACTAAACAATGGTGCCCACTGGTGGCAATCAAATATATTTTAGAAGGAAGTCTCCTAAGAGCTCAATTATTTTATATTCAATCATGTAAAATATCCCTTTAAGAAAGCACTCAGTGTGAGATAATAAACAAGGTCTAAGGTTTAATGATAAAAAAATATTCGGCTTTAAGTAAAGAAACAGGATCACACCTACCTAAGCTGCTGCATTCTTTAAGAGTTTTCTCCTGAAGATGTCCTAACCGTACTGTAAATAAAAGTCCAAGAAAAAGATATTTCACAGATAAAAAGAAAGAAATCGAATCAAATCAATTTATGGATTAGCTAACTTACCTTGTAAAGCTGTCAGCCTTTCATTGGTGAAATCATTATCAGCTTGCAAAGCTTCTATTTTTGCCTGCAGCTCCTGTTCCTTTTCTTCCATTTCATCTATCTTATGCTGCAGTTCTTTTTTCTCAGCCTGTCCCTTCTGTTGGATTTCCTCTTGTTTTCCTTCTGCTACCTGTTGAGGAAAAAAATAAAATACAGAAAAGAAAATTTAGTTATTCCATAAGACCTTCTTATGTTTTCATAAGCCTTAACAAGGACAGCCTTATTCACCTAAATATCTAAACAAATTATTCCATATTCTAGAACATACTGGTGTTTCTAAACTGGGAAGATAAAGACAAAGGTGTAATGTCAAAAGGGATTGACACTCAGGTCAGTCCTTCCCGAAACCTAAAAAAGGAAAAACGTAGAGCAATCACACAGGCTCCCCACCATGATAAAGAAAGGTTAAAGTTGAAAAAAAATTAATTTTTAAAGAGGAAAGTAAAATAACTAAAATTACTATAGTTTTTATCCTAAATTCTGAAATGTAACTTAATCTGAAATTTTAGGTAAAATTGCATTTAGCTAGGGGAATACTGGCACATGTACTTTTTCAAAAGACCTTTAAAAAAGAATAATTTTTAGGGCCTGGTGCAATAGCGTAGTGATTAAAGTCCTCGCCTTGCACACACCAGGATCCCATATGGGCGCCGGTTCTAATCCCAGCAGCCCCGCTTCCCATCCAGCTCCCTGCTTGTGGCCTGGGAAAGCAGTCAAGGACAGCCCAGAGAATTGGGACCCTGCACCTGAGTGGGAGACCCAGAAGAGCTCCTGGCTCCTGGCTTCAGACTGGCTCAGCTCCAGCCGTTGTGGTCACTTGGGGAGTGAACCATCGGACGGAAGATCTTCCTCTCTGTCTCTCCTCCTCTCTGTATATCTGCCTTTCCAATAAAAATATATAAATCTTAAAAAAAAAAAAAAGAAGAATTTTTAAACTATTACAGGTTAACCAGCCACACAAAGAAAGGGCATGATTTGGTCTTCCTTAAAAAATGCATATGTTTGAAGTATTCAATCCATGGTTGGAATTACATGTATGTATACTGTATGTACAGATCTTGATATACTTAGTTTTAAAAGCCTTTTTTTTTTTTAAGATTCATTTATTTTTATTGGAAAGGCAGATATACAGAGAGGAGGAGAGAGAGAGAGCGAGCAAGATCTTCTGTCTGATGATTCACTCCTGATGTGGCTGCAATGGCTGTTGCTGAGCCAATCTGAAGCCAGGAGCCAGGATCTCCTCCATGTCTTCCATGTGGTACAGGATCCCAAGGCCTTGGGCCGTCCTACACTGCCTTTCTAGGCCACAAGCAGGGAAGCAGAGCCGCTGGGATTAGAATTGGCATCCATATGGGATGCTAGTGTGTGCAAGGCAAGGACTTGGGCCACTAGGCTTTTGCGCCTGACCCAGTTTTAAGAGTTTAATGAACTGGGCCCAGGATAGTGGTCTAGCGGCTTAAGTCCTCGCTTTGAACATGCCAGGATTCCATATGGGCACCAGTTCTAATCCCAGCGGCCCTGCTTCCCATCCAGCTCCCTGCTTGAGGCCTAGGAAAGCAGTCAAAGATGGCTCAATGCCTTGGGGCCCTGCACCCACATAGGAGACCTGGAAGAAGCTCCTGGCTCCTGGTTCCAGATGACCGCAGCTCTAGCCGTTGCAGTCACTTGGGGAGAGAATCATCCGAAGGAAGATCTTCCTCTCTGTCTCTCTCCCTCTCTGCATATATCTGACTTTGCAACAAAAATAAATCAATCTTAAAAAAAAAGTTTAATGGACCAACTAGACATGACCTTGTGCTGTGACCTACCCTAACCTCAAGGTCCCGTATGCACAGGGATTTGCAGCTGAGTCAGAGTCAACGCATCCTTACAGGTTAAAAGAGGACAAGCAGATCACGCTGAGATTCCTCTGGGCTTGTTCTAGCACTCACTGATCGTGGTTTGCCATCAGGATAACCCAAAGATAAGCAGTTTTAGGATTAAAAAACATAGCTAAAATCTTGGGTTTTGCTAAAGCTCATTTATCAGAACATACTTCTGAAAATACATGATAATATATTAAAAGATGCCTACTGGGAAGCACCTACTAAATTTTCACCCAGAGGAAATAAATCAGCTTTTAATTGTCTATGGGATTGCAAGTTGGGCTGCATGGAATATAAGCACCTCGTTGTCATGATAAATTTCAGCCAGTACGAAGTTTTCCTGCAAGTTTCAGCGGCATCAACCTGTTGAAGTAGCCAGTGTGTCACAGACTATTAGCATTCTTTCAGGGTGAGTAAATACATACCTTTAATTTATCAGATAGATCTTTAATTTCATTAACTGCTCCATTATATTTATTGGCTAATTCTCTTAACTCTTCCTGAGTCCGTTCATTCATTTCTTTCAGGTGTGTACATTCATCTTCAGTATTACTCAGGCTTCGCTGCAATTCAAGTTTGTAAGTAATTTACTCAATAAATATAACTTAATAACTTAGAACTACTTTTTAAATTTAGTTTATAAAGATACAATTCTATGAGTAATTCTAACCAACATTTTTTTTTTTGCCTTGGACTTTTTATAAAACATAGTTCAGTAATATGTGGATTTTAATTTATTTCAAGGCATATGGAAACAAAAAGTGCAAGTATGAATTTGCAAAAAAAAAAAAGCCCTAGGGGTCAGGAAGAGAACGTTACCTTTACGCAACTCTACTCTAAAGGGCCACAATCTGTTACTTTTAACCTTTAAGATATTTTGAGTGTATTAACTTTTATGATATCATGCTTAATGTGAAACAATTTTATTCCTCAAGTACCCAGAAAGAGCACTGAAGATAAATCACTCTTGGAATCTCTAACACTGTAAGCAACAATGAGTTCCTCTCTGGAGGACAGGTGAGCTAACGTGTAGTAGTCAGTTCCAGACCATCCTGGACCAAAAGCAAAACCAGGTGACAGGAGGCCATCTGGCACACAACACTGTCCACTGTATAAAGGCTGAAATACATAAATACAAATTGCCAAGATTCCCTGGTTAGGAGTCCTACCCTCCTAATGAGAACTTGGCTAAAGCAGTGTACTCTTTCCTTCCTACCTGAACAAATATTTTCTAGCCATATATTACCAAGTTTCAAAGGTCCTGGAGCGGCTGGCACCGTGGCAGAGTGCGTTCAGCCTCCATTTGTTAACACTAGCATCCCATTTGGGGACTGGTTTGAGATCCAGCTGTTCCAGTTCTGATTAGCTTCCTGCTAATGTGCCTGGGAAAGCAGCAGCAGATAGCCCAAATGCTTAGGTCCCCGAACCAATGTTGGACACCTTGAAGAATCTCTGGGTTACTAGCTTTGACCTGGCCCAGGAATGACTGTTGCAACCACGTGGGGATCAATCAGCAGATTGAAGATCTCTTCCTTTCTGTCTCTCTTCTTCTCTCTATAACTCTGCCTTTCAAATAAATAAATATAAAAATATTTAAAAATATAAAGGGCCCTGAAAAGTTTAAAATTCAGAAATAACTCTACTAGCAACCTAATACTTTTAAAAGTGAAATACCTCAACTTCTGAAAGTTTTCTAACAACTTCAATTTTCTCCTGAAGAACTCGCCTCAAGGACTCTTTGGCTGTTGTCTCATAGTTGTGTTTATCTTCCTGCAATGCTATGAGTTCCTTCCGTAAACTATCTTCTGTTTGATTCTAGAAGAAAAAAAGGATTTATAATTATAAACAAGTTGTTTTTTTCTTAAAAAAGCACTTAGAGTTTTTTAAATATTAGCAGATTATAATATTTTTAAATTCTATAATAAGGTACCTCCAAACACAAATGATGCTAATCATTTATAAACTGAAGCTATATTTAAAAACTGCATCAGTAAATTATACCTTTACAAACATATTAATATTCACTTCCAATAAAGACAAAAAGTGATTGACAATTTCTAAAACACAAAATTAAATACTCAAATTATTAGTATTCTGCATACCATCTTAATTACATCCAGAGGCAAAAGTAATTATCTTTAGAAGCACCAAGCCTAAAATAATAGTTCAAAAAAAAAAAAAGCAAAAAAAACGGTATGAAAGGAACAATGTGGACTTCAAGTCTGAGGTAAGAAATGTGCAAAAAATGTCTTTGCTTGTTTGTCAGCATAAATCTAACAAACTCCACTAGGCTTTTATAAAAAAAGACTAAGGAGTCATTCTGAAGAGGTTTATTCTGATCAAATATTCAAAACAAATTGATCAATTACCCCAGCCAAGTGTTGGCAGTAAAAATCAGACCAAACGGATACTCTAAGGTGACTATGTCAGCCAGTGGATTCTGGAGAGAATCAACATGCTTGGAGTGGTGAGATCAGCAGCAATTCAGAACTGTGGAACTATCAAAACTTCTTGAGCAGGACCCTCGGAGCATGCCCAAATTGGGGACACTGAGATGATTGTGAGGCTGGGTGTGGTTTCTCCCTTTATCTCCCCTCTTCCCTCAGATACAGGAAGGAAAAAAGGGAATGTGGAAACAATGGTCTCACCCATCTTCCTCTAGCCCTTGATCCTTTGCACCCTAACCAACTATGTAAAAATAAAATACAATTTAAAAAGTTTTTTTAGAGGCCAAGTGTGATAGCCTAGTGGGTAAAGTCCTCGCCTTGCATGTGCCAGGATCCCATACGGGTGCCAATTCTAATCCTGGGGGCCCCCTCCGCTTCCTATCCAGCTCCTTATTTATGGACTGGGAAAGTGGTCGAAGACGGCCCAAAGCCCTGGGACCCTGCACCCGCATGGGAGACCCAGAAGAGGCTCCAGGCTCCTGGATTCAGATTGGCAGCCACATGGGGAGTGAATTAATGGACAGAAGATCTTTTTCTCTCTTTCTCTGTATATCTGACTTTCCAACAAAAATTAAAACAAAACAAAAAAATCTTAAAGAAAAAAAGGACCAAAAAACTTGCCAACTGAAGGAACTTCTGTAAATGACCTAGTTTCTTCAAAAAGCATCAACTACAACGGAACAATTATAGCTATACACGAGCATTCATTATATTATTACTTCTACTCACAGGTGTTACTTGAAATTTCCCATTTCAAATGATTAAAAGAATGGTGGAAACACATCAATGTTTTAATATTTACTCAGAATTACATTCAAAGAAAGGAAGTCACAAAAAATACTATGTAGATTTCTTTACATAAATGAGATTAATACTTACTTTGGAGCATGCCTGCAATTGGTTTCCCATAACTTCTAACCGTGATAAGAGCCTATCTTCATCTATTAAAGCCTGTTGAAGAAAAGTTAAATATAAATATAACCCAAGAGTATCTACACAATAACATACATATATAAAGATTTCAATTAACAAAAGATGAAATCATAAAATTGACCCATATCTGGCTAAATTTTCAACATATGTTCATTAGTTAGAAAACTATGTTTGCCACAAAAATTTAGTTTTAGTTCATTCAAGCTACAAAGAACATTAAACCATATTTAAAATGTTTCTTGAAAATAAACGTAAGTAGGATACCTGCCAACTGGTATCGGAAGCCTCTTGGGTGATGGCCAGTAGTCGCTGAAGCGTAGCTAACTTCTGTTCCAACATCTGTTCCCGATGTAAGGCCTCCTAGTATTATAAGTCACAAAAGAGATTTTTAATAAACTCAATGAGTCTTTTAAAGAGCAATCAATTAAATTTCTTTTGGAATATAGTCTCATATTATTACATTTCTCTTAATATAGTCCAAAAATTTTTAAACATAATTTTAAAAATGTATCTAGGCTATATTATTTTAGAATTTGATGGATTTTAATTTTGTTAGAGATGTTCTAGCTGCAACTTCACCTATACCAAGAAAAGAATTCACCTGTTTACAAATATAGTAAATATGTAAATAAGCTTTTATTAAAAAATAAAAGCAACTTTGAGAGGCACAGAGACAAAAATAAAGACAAAGAGAGTGTCCTCGGTCAGGGCTGGGACAAGGCTGAGGTCAGGAGGCGGTAATACAGAGCAGGTTTCCAGTGCAGAGAGCAGTGACTGAGCAATTCCAGCCATCACTGTGGCCTCCAAGGGTCTGCATTAGCAGCACACTGAACTCCGAATCCAGAGCCTGGTAACAAATCCAGGCAATTTGGTTCGTGATATGGGTGTCTTAATTGCTACACTAACTCCCTACCGAGTAAACTGCTTTAGGTTTTATTTAGTTAAAATTTAGAAGAGTGTCTTTAAAAATCTATACCAGAAAAAGCCAACAATTGGTTCACGCTTGCATTTACTCATATGTATGCACACATATGTAATATCTACACACACACACATAAATCCAAAACGTATATCTCAAAACAAACTCTGTATAAAACAAGATAATATAATCTTGGCAAGCAGCTAAAATAGCTTATAATTTTTTCAGTGTATAAAAATGATCTTTTAAAATGAAACAGCTTTTGTTTAAAAATTTCTGTGCTTTAGAAGTGCTTATTCAGGGAGAACCACTCTCCCAGCTATTTTATCACAGCATCTCTAGGTGTTCTAATTTTCTGACTGTACTCCACTTAGCAGCAATTAATAGGCTGCAAGTAAACAAGAACTCAGCAAATATTGCTTCAACGTACTTAAGGGATCAATGAGTTAAATAACAATTTGGCAGCTCCAAAGGAATATTTTACAGTGAAAATCACTTGTGAACAAAGTCTGATTGTTAGATGACTGGTTAACATTTTATAGCTGTTAACATCGTGACATACTTTACTGGGAGTAGTTTCCATGTGAAACGCTGGCGGCACTTAGTTGTGGTTTTGGCATACACTCTTTTTTTTTTTTTAATCTATTTTTATTGGAAAGGCAGATGAGATTTACAGAGAGAGACAAAGATCCTCTATCTGCTGGGTCACTCCCCAAATGCCCTCAATGGCCAGAGCTAAGCCGAAATGAAGCTAGGAACCTGGTGCTTCTTTCAGGTCTCCCATGCAAGTGCAGGGTCCCAAGGATTGGCGCCATCCTCCACTGCTTTCCCTGGCTACAACAGGAAAGTGGATAAGAAGCAGAGCAGCTGCGACATGAACCGGTACTCATACGGCATTTCAGTGCTTGAAGGTGAGGATTTAGCCATTGAGTTATTGAGCTGGGCCCAGAACAATGAATGAAAAGAAGAATGTACACCATGTTTCTCATGTATATTTTCAGAGTGCAAAACAAGATTTATTTGAGAGTGAGAGAGAGGTCTCCTGCCGTAGTGACAGGATGGGGCTTCAAGGGAGGAAAGACCCTGGCATACATTCTTTACCTTCTTTTATTCCTGTTATTATCCAAAGAACATTTACTACCTTAAAACTGTCAAGTTACCTCAACAGACAAGTGTACACTTCAAACACAGTATTTGATGTTTGAAGCAAGAATTTATTGCCTTTCATGGGCTCAGTACAGTACCCTAGAGTGGCTAAAGTCCTCGCGTTAAATGTGCCAGGATCCCATATGGGCACCAGTTCTAATCCTAGTGGCCCTGCTTCTCATCCAGCTCCCTGCTTGTGATCTGAGAAAGCAGTCAAAGACGGCCCAAAGCCTTGGGACCCTGCATCTGTATGGGAGACCCGGAAGAGTTTCCTGCTTCCTGGCTTTGGAACACTGCAGCTCCAGTTGCTGTGGTCACCGGGGGAGTGAATCATGGGGGGAAGACCTTCCTCTCTCTCTCTCTCCTCACTGTGTGTCTGACTTTGCAATAAAAATAAATAAATCTTTTTTAAAAAAAGAATGTATTGCCTTTCACATCCTTTAATAATCAAGGAAAAGGTGATCATTTTAGAGTTAGAGGTATTATATTTTTACACAACTCAAAAATATATTTAAAATATCTAATAAAAGAACTATCTCAGAATCTATAGAAAAAGGACAATTTACATTCCATGTTTATTTGCTCCTAACACCTTCCTAATATACAAGAAGTTATAGATGCTATAGAATGTTTTACAGAAAAATCAGTCTACTAACCAACTATATCTTTAGAATCTACCTCCACTAGATGGTGTAATTACACTTTATAAAAGGTCTCTCAATTCTAAGACATGGAACGCATGCATTCTAACTTTTATTCAAAAGGTTCAGAATCTACATTAGCAATTCAATAACGAAATATACAGAATGTGTGGTATAATTTTCTCTTTAAGGAGACAGAAAAAGGAAAAGTGAGGTGAGTCTACCATGAATATTCACAAGAAAAAAAGTTAGGAATCAACAAACCAAGGCATGAGCTTAACTAACAGATTATTAGTATGAGCAACAATAGGGAACAGCCTTGGGATCATGATTTAAAGATTATGAGCACCATATTACTCAGACACAAAATGAAATTTATGCCAAATTAATCTCAAAGTTTTCTTGCATCTCTAAGAGCAGACAGATTTTTGAAAAATGCCTTCCTATTGAAAAGTAAATAATTTTTCACTGTATATACCAGGCAATAATCTGTGTGTTTTATATTTATAAATTCATTTATTCACAATTCAGTAAAATAAATGCTATTATTCTATCCATTTCACAGAGGAGGAAAATGAAGCACCTCAGGAATTACAGTTAGGGATCACATCTGGGGAATTCTTTGATATTCTACGAAAGCACAAATGTGTTGAGCTGTTTTTGTTGTTGTTGTTGTTTTAATGTAAGAACACATTATACCTGGTAGAAGATCCAGCTAATACACTGATAATTTATTTTTATAGATGTGTATATCCTTAACTGAGGCAGAACATCCCTCAGTGACTGATTCCCATTAAAGAAGGTAGGAACCCCGGATCACTGGCTTCGTTCTATAATTTCAAACAAAAGACACCTGAATGTAAAATGACTCACCCAAGGTCATGGAACTGATTTAGGAAGAAAGCCAAAATTTAAATAACAAAACAAAACAACAACAAAAAAAACCTCAATCTCTAAATTTCAAGCACAAAATTTTTGTTAATCATCTTCCCTCACCAGAATAACTATAACTCAGCCTCAAACTATATTAGAAAGTCAGATATACAGAGAGGAGATACAGAGAAAAAGAACTTCCATCTGCTGGTTCACTCCCCAAGTGGCCACAATGCCTGGAGCCAAGCTGATTTAAAGCCAGGAGCTTCTTTCGGTTCTCCCACACAGATGCAGGGTCTCAAGGTTTTAGATCATCCTTCACTGCTTTCCAGGCCACAAGCAGGGAGCTGGATGGGAAGTGAGACTTCCGGGACACAAACCAGCATCATATGGGATCTTGGCACAGGCAAGGCAAGGGTTTTAGCCACTAGGTTAGGCCTGAACTGGGCTGCATGAACCTATTTTTAATTCTTTGTCCTTTCTTTTGTATTTATATTCTTCCAGTACTTTAAAAATTCTTTTTTTCCCCAGTGCTTTTAAATTCTGTTTGTGAGCTAAAGAAATAAATGTAAATTATTTATTTGATTCTGCTTTTAAGAAAGTCTCAAGATTAACTTTTACCTGAAGATACTGAGAAAGCTGGAATAGTTCCTGAGAGTACATACTTGGAGTGTTAGCAGCAACCTAGAAATAAAATGATACAGTGTCAACAATCACATAAAACACTTTTTATAAAAGACATTGAAGACAAATCAATTCCTTGAATTATCTATTTGCCTAAATGCACAAAACATTATTTTAAAAATTCATCAGTTTCCTTAGTTGTCAATATACCTCTGTGCTATGTCCAAAGTTTGTAAATGGTATTTATACCTGATTACCTGGTTTAAAAGCTTAAAAGCAGGTGGTAGAACAAGTACTACTCATGAAAACAATGCAGAAATAATACTTCCAAAGTCAGAGCCACTTACTTTCCTTTTATAATTCATTGTTAAATGGTTCTCCAAAACAATTTATTAAAAGTAGCCATTTCCAGAATCAGGCTGGACTGCAACACCCATTGGTTCCAGTGGAAGACAGGGCTGGAAACAGAACCGACCCAGCAATTGCAACCACCAGCTGATTGGGGCGATGGACTGTGCCGGGCCCTGTACTTGCAAGTACACACAAGAATCTGGTCTGGGATCACCTCAGACAAAGTTTCTTTTGGGATCTCCCCAATAGAACTGCCGGACTCAGAAACCATGGTCTTGCCATGGAGTACAAGTGCCAGAACCAAGCCTCCCCAGAGGCTCAGACGGAGCAGTGGAGAGAATAACCAGCTGCACATGGAGGATACGGCAGTCTATCGGAATCTGCAGAGGACACCTGGCATCACCACAGAGGACAGAACAGATCAATCAACTACCCCAGCCATATGTTGGCAGTGAAAAACTGGGCAAACGGAATCTATGGTATGTCAATCAGAGGATTCTGCAGCAACTTCACTGTGCTTGGAATGGCGAGATTGGCAGCAATTCAGAACTGTTGAACTATCAAGACCACTTGAGCAAGATGGGTGGGAGACTGGGTGGGGCTTCTCCCTTTACCTCCCCCTTTACCCCAGATACAGGAAAAAAACAATGTGGAAATAATAGCCTTACCCACTTTCCTGTAGCCCTTGAACCTTTTTTGCCCTAATTAACTATGTAAAGATTGTCAAAAAAAAAAAAAAGTAGCCATTTCAAAATGGTATTTGTATGTGTGTGTGCTTGAGGGTGTGAAATTTCACATTTTATCCGGTGGCCAGAGATAATTACTCTCTCTCAAACTATACACAGGTTTTAAGAAAAAGGATGAGAGATAATGGTGTTCAAACCTACAAAAATAAATAAATAAACAAACACTGCAAATCATAGTCAAGCTTTTAGAAATCAAGAGTATTACAACAGCTTGGTTTTCAAACCTGTGGAATGGAGACCCATGGCATGGCTGCAATTTCCTACTCAACACTAACAAAGCCTAAGCGGTAACTTATTAATGAGGTCACAGTATCATTCCTTTTAGTGATCAGAAAGTATACTTTTATTAATGTGCTGACTAGAAGACAAGAAAAAAAAGTCAACTTTTTTTTTAAACTAAGTTCTAAGTCACAAGACCATTATTTATTTCTGGAGTAATTCTTGGTACTGCAGAAACCCAGGATTAAACACTTACATTACTAAAAAGGAATCAACAGTTTAAAGCATGCTTTCATTCTTTTCCCAAAAGGAAGAAATAAGTAGAACATTTGTCCCAATAGTTCAGTTACTGCAGTAAGAAAACCAATACCACTTTAATGCCAGAAGATGTGAAAGAGTTTTTGCTATTAAGTAGTATCTATCATTTAATGCACTGCTATTTTTGAACAAAAGAAAAATAGTTCCTAGTTGGTAATTATTACGTAGTTTATGTTCAGATCATGTTAAAACTGATCTTTGAAATAATACCTGAACACTGCTATGAAAGAGCACATATTTCTTTACTACTTTCCAGTATATACAAATGTTGAGTGAACTATGTAGATGGAAAGTTTTAAGAAATTTCTAGACAAAGCTATAACTTAGAGTAAAAAATAATAGCAAACATTCCTTACCTTTACCTAAGAACTAAATAGGTACTTATAGTCTATACAGTTAATGGGTTGAAATAACAAAGCCTTTTATTGAAGAAACATCCTAAAATTTCCAGATATTAAATACCAGAGGATTACTACATAGTTATACATATTCTACATATTTTGTTACAGAGAAATAAGTTTCTAGATGAATCATATTACAAACAAAATAGTTTCAAAGTAAACTAAAACAGGCTATAAAGAATAATTATTAGCAACTTACTTTGTCAACAGGACTTGGTAATGGGGCATGGATGACACTGAAAAGCAAAATTTAGAATTTTTATCGAATTTCCTGACAATTAGAGGAGACAAGAATATGACAGTACCAGAATATCACAAACCACAAAACTGACACATTTGCCTTCATATAGCTAAAAGAACATGAATTATCTTTTTAAACCTCTGTAAATGTATAAATTTGTAGGGAATAAAAAGGGGGTAACAAATACATTAACCAAATTTTTACACATCAGTATATTTCTAAAAGCAAGCTCCAATCCAAAAATGTATTAAATACTGGGAAAGAATCCACACTTACTGAGGGTGGTGATGGAGTCTTAGGCTATATTTTTAAAAGACAATTTTGATTAACATGTAACATATACACTTTTGAGGCAAGTGCATAATTTTAATATATACAGAAAGCATAAATGGATCAAAGCAGATATTGAACATCCCCACTGCCCTACCTTCCTTTCAAGTTTGGAGGCTTCTAGCTCCTGCTTTCCAGGTTCTCAGGCTGTAACATATTACGGTGATCTATGATTGCCCCAGTGTGCTGTGGTACACTGGGACCTCTCATTCCTATCTGTCTGAGTTTTGTTACCCTTTTTCCAACATCCTTCCAATTCCTCTCCTCCCATCATTCCCAGATTCTAATAATCACTAATATAAGTTCAAAATGACATTTGTTTAAACTTCACACATGAAAGAGAACCTATAATATCTACCTTTCTGCACCTGGCTTATTCATTGAATGAACCTAAAATCCCAACCATTTTATTGTAAACGAAATACTGGATTTAATTCTTATTAATCATTGGGTACTATTCCATTTAGGTATTTACATTTACTTAAATAATTCACCTAACGCCAGACATCAAGATTGGGTCTACATCATAGCTACTGGGATTAGTGCCACATCTTTTTGGTAAAACTCATCCTATTGAGAGTGAGACAGTATCTCATTGTGATTTCGATTTGCATTTTCCTGGTGGTTAATGATAATGAGCATTTTTTCATATATTTCTTGGCCAGTTGCATTTGTTTTAAGAAATACACATTCAGATCATTTCCCCAGTTCTTAAACTGCAGTTTCAATGTTTTTTGATTAGTAATTATTATACTTATTGATGGGTCACAATGTGATGTTTTAATACAAGTACATAATATGTACTGATCAAATCAGAGCAATCAACCTTTCCCCTTCTATACCATCACTTTATGAGGTTTGAAGTTCCTTTCTTACATCTGCTCTTAAGACATGTATTTGATTATTATGAATCACAGTCACACAATTATTCAGTGTAACATTTCTTTGATGTATCCTGATTTTGGCACCTGTTAACCAAACTTCCTTTATCCTCTGAAGTCCTCTCACCCTCTAGTATCACTACTTCATGCTCAGAGAGGTTTCTACCTTCCATAAGAAGGAAAACTGTTGACATTTGTCTTTCTGTGGTTTACTTAACTTACCCCGATATCCTCTAGGATTTGTTTTATTACATTGACATAGCAAAGAATCACTCTCTAAATCCCTCATCTCCAATTTGGGGATGTATAGGTTAAGCTTCTAAAATTAAACACTCCTATGGAGAATGTCTTATAGACCCAAGTTCTACAGTAAAGAAAGGCTAAGATCTGGAAACCTTCTCTAGTGAACAATAATGCTAAATAGAACAGCAGTACTGGGACCAACTTGGTGGTAGGCTAACCCTCTGCCCTGTGGCCTGGCATCCCATGTGGGAGCCTGTTCACGTCTTGGCTGCACCACTTTCCATCCAGCTCTCTGCTTGTGACATGGGAAAGCAGAACATGGTCCAAAGCCTTGGGACCTTGCACCCACGTAGGAGATCTGGAAGAAGTTCCTGGCTCCTGGCTTCAGGTCAGCTCAGCTCTGGACACTGTGGTGATTTGGGAAGGGGAGCCAGTGGATAGAAGGCCTCCCTCTGTCTTTCCTTCCCTCTCAATCAAATCTTTCAAATGAATACAAATATATTTTTTTTAAAAAGGACAGTAGTACTATTTTGCTGTACCAGCCACCTCAGAAATTGAATACTTAAATGTACGTATTAAATTGAACTGTCACTTTAAAACAAACATTAAACAGACAGTGTTACTAGCTGCTAATTGCTTAAATAATACTGACACAAAGTTTAGAACTAAAGCATGCAAGTTCAGAAATTACACTGACTGGGTCCAAATTCTAGCTCTTCCTTCCCAGCAAAAGACAAATTGCCTGATCAATGCAGATCTCCTCTTCCTCAACCATAAAAATGAAAATTATCAACCCAAATTACTGTATTGAATCTGCTTAAATAAAGAGCTTCAAGCAGGACCATGATAAGCCCACAGCTAAGGAAGGCAAGGCCTCTAATTTCATATCCTACAAAATAATCTATGTGAGTTGGGGGTAAGTCTGGGGCACACATATCTGCCTTAGCAGGTACTAATCATTTGCACCTGACCAGTCACTCAGCTTGAAGACTGGGTCAGATTCTTAAATTCAAGTGGCTAAATGTGTGTAAGCTGCTAAGGAACTGATCTGGCACAACTGATCAAATTTACTAATAATTTCCAGCACTCCACTCCTTTCTGAGCATCCATGATCTCTGTGTTACAGAGGTTTCTCTATATAACTCGCTACTGTACTTCTATGTTTTAATTAGTGTGATTAATTCACTAAATTTAATAATTTAATAATCATGTGCAGGCTTCAGTTTTCCTTTTTACCCTATAAAATTAGACATTTTAAGATAAGCCCATTTAAAAAAAAAAAAAAGATTTACTTATTTTTATTGCACAGTCTTCACTCCCCAAGTGGCTGCAATGGCCGGTGCTGCACCAATCTGAAGCCAGGAGCCTGGAGCTCTTCCGGGTCTCCCACGCGGGTGCAGGGTCCCAAGGCTTTGGGCCATCCTTGACTGCTTTCCCAGGCCACAAGCAGGGAACTGGATGGGAAGCGGGGCTGCCAGGACTAGAACCAGCACCCATGTGGGATCCTGGCACGTTCAATGTGAGGACCTTAGCCATTAGGCCACTGTGTTGGACCCAAGATAAGCTCATTTTTAAGAGTACAATTACTATATATTGATGATAGAACATATATGAAGTAAACCATGAACAAATAGATCAAAACTGCTCAGTGCTAGTACCCTATCCAGATATAACCATTTTGGTTATATATTCTTTTATTTGCATATGCACATAAAGGGAAACAAATAGGAAAATGTAAATGGGAGCAAATGGTGCTACTAAAATTTGGGTAAGAATCTAGCTTTCTTACTGATTCAAACATAAAATCTTCTGTTCTTGTGAAAATTTAGTTAACAAACAAAAGGATAAACATCCAGTAACACATGTGATAATATGCATTTGCACTTCACAGACTCTCTTGGATATAGGCATATTTTATTTAAATTATGAAGAAAGTCCACGTGTATATAAAAGAGCCAGAGAATGCAGAAAATGAAAACAAGTGTTCAGTATTAGAACAGTGGAGCTTCATGTAGTATCTACATTTCTTATCATTAGAAAATTGCTTATGGGTCAGGGTAGTAGCCTAGTAGCTAAACTCCTTGCCTTGCATGTTCCAGGATACTCTGTGGGTGCCAGTTCATATCCTGTCTGCTCCACTTCCCTTTCAGCTCCCTGCTTGTGGCTGGAAAAGCAGTTGAGGAAGGCCCAAAGCCTTGGGACTCTGCACCCACGTGGGACACCCGGAAGAAGCTCCTTGCTCGGATCGGCTCAGCTCTGACCATTGCAGCCACTTGGGGAATGAACTAGGAGTTGGAAGATCATTCTCTCTGTCTCTTCTTTGTAAATCTGACTTTCCAATAAAAATACATCTTGAAAAAAATTGTATACTATAAGAAATCAAGGAACAAGAGTCAGCTTTTGGAGAATAACCTGCTGAAAATCTGAAAAGCACTAACTGCTATATACACAATCTAAAATCAAGGCATGTGGCACATCCAAAAGCATGTTAAGCATTACAAAAATTGATTAAAGTAACAGGAACAGCTCTAATGTGGATCACACATGTATTCCATGCCAGGTATTAGGCTGAGTACTTCAAGCACAGAATGTTGCTTAATCTTCATAAAGTTCCTGCTCCAACGGTATTATTGTCATCTTCATATTTCAGTTGAGAAAATGAACCCTGATCAAGTCACAGAACACCTGGCATTAGGCTTTGACTACACTACTTCTGAAGGCTATCGGATCTTCTTCCAACTCAGGAGAATGGCCTGTCCAAAAATTTTCCAGAAAGGCAATCAAAATCATGTACAAGGAACTACAGCAAAATTGTAAACGATGCTAATATTTAAAAAAAAAAAAGTGGGGGGGAATACCAGAAAGAGGGTAATGGGAACAAAGGTGAAATGGACTAAAAAAACCCAATGACTAAGGTCATAATTAACTGAAAAAACTCACACACTCTGCCAGTTGGAACCTGGGAACCCACACTCCTCAGGTAGCTGCTCAAAGTTTGAAGGAAAAAGCTGTTACCAAATACAGACCTCAAGGTCTTTCAAGAAGCTATACATCATCAGTAAATTAAGAGTTACTCTTAGTTATAAAATATTGCTCCTGGGCTCAAAAAAGTTGTTTCATTGAAGTTCAAAATTTCTCCTATTTTCATAATTAAACCCGTTTAAAACAAGAAACATTAATTTTGTAAATTTAAAATATCTTTAACATTTATGCTGTATTTCAGATACTCTTTAAAAAAATTTTTTTTTTAAATGAGTACAGAGTGCCAGTTTAAGCCCCAGGTCCTCCACTTCTTAACCTGTTAACACATCCTAGTTGGCTTCAAGTACTTTAGGACCCCAGGACCCCTTCTACATGAGTGGTGAAGGAGTCCAATGGAATTCCAGTCTGCTGGCTTTGGCACATCTCAGCTCTTCCAGCTGTAGAATGAACTAGCAGATAGAAGATTCTCCCCCGTGCCCCTTTCTTTTCTATGTATATATTTCCTTCTTGCTTTCTTTCTGCCTGGTCCTCTCACATGAAAAATAAATAATGATAAGAAAGCACTGGAAAAACATTGGGTTTAAAAGCTTTGTATGGCATACAACAGGTAAAGCCACCACCTGTTACACCTGCACCCCATCTGGGCGCCAGTTGGTATCTCTGCTGCTTACTTCTGATTCATCTCCCTGCTAATGACCTGGGAAAACCTGGGCAAGATGACCCAAGTAGTTAGGCACCTGCCACCCACAAATGAGACCCAGATGCAGCCATTTGGTTAGAGAACCAACGGATAGAAGCTCTCTCTCTGTATAAACCTTTTTTTTTTTCCATTAAAGGTATCTTCTAAGTGAAGTATAAAATACATGACTAATCAAAGTACAGACGGTCACAGTGACAGAAGAATCTCTATTGCTTCTCTCCTACTCACTGCTCTTGTCCTTCAGTTTCCATGCTCTCACGCATCACTGTCCCTCCTCTTTTAGGGCAGAAAATATCATGTTGAGTACAGAAACAAGCTGCTAGCAATTCAAGCATTTAAAAAAAAGGATTTTTAAGGATCATGCAGCTGTGTTGTAAAAATCACCAAATCAAAATGTACTTATGTTTATATTTTAAAATCTAGATTGTATGTGTGACTTTCACTTAAATACACACACACAACACACAACTTGAAACTGTGAAAAAAAAAAAAAACATATTCAAGGGCCTGTAAGATTGTGAGCTCGGTATTCATGTATTAATTGTACAGGCAATCAGTGTCTAAGAACCGCTACAGTAACCTCCTACCCAAAGGGATGGAGGTGCCACCACGACTAGCATGCCCCAAACACTGTGAAAAAACAATTAGACACGAATTAAAATAAAAACTATAAAACTAAATTTAGAAACAAAATAATCCCTGCCTCTAATGCTTTCTATTTAGTATAATTTCAACTAATGTGAAAAGCAATTTAAAATAAAGTGTATCATACTCCAGGAAATATAACAGCAATTATATAACCTAATTAAAATAATCTTACAACACTGACTGTTTATTATTGTCTAGAATATTATTAACCAAAATAATTAATCCCCGAATTAAAGAGCACTAAATTATACTCACTCTGAGCGGAGCCGGGCTTCCATACCATCTGGTAGAAAAAGTTTTATTGTGGAAACAATACACCCGTGGGTAACTGGTTAAAACAAACAAATATCATGAATAAAACAATTGTTTAAATATAAACCTTTGTACTTCTCATATCTAAACATGTATTTCTTTTCCTAAAAATAACTTCTAGGGAAGAAAACAAATCTGGTTTAGTAGCAGTAACAAAATATTCATTATCCTGGAGAAACTTATCTCTATTCATAATAAATCATAATTATAAAACAGAATTACAGATGGAATGGTTTCAAAAAATCCTAATTTCCAATTCTGTAACAGTCAATATATCATATATATGGAAATACAACTGAGTGAGAAAAATCTAACTCTGTTTCCTTTTCAAATATAGCCTTCATTCTAAACTCTCCTGCCTCTAATCTGTAACTCTTAGTCACACTGCATAAAACTCTATGAAGTTATAAATAATTAAGAAATGGCATTTAATATCCCCATTTAATGTCAAGGAAATCAAGACCAGTGAAATTGCTTATTAGAACTCACATTTGAGGTTTCTAGCTCAGTATTTACAATTTTTGTTTTGTTTTCTTGATAGCTGTTTCTTGTCCCGCCCGCAACATTTTTATATAACGTCATAACGCTGAAGATAATTTATTATTGCTACTTCCTTCCTCCTCTTCCTACTGATTATTTTAAGAGACAACACTCCTCCACAAAGCAGTAACTGTACAAAGCTTCCCTGTGAGCATTTCCTAAGAAAAAAAAATTCATTTTCTGGTTTAAAAATTGATGACTCTTAATTTCTACATTCTTCAAATACTCCATCTTCCTCGTTTAAAATATTAATTAATTTATTAAAATTATTAATTGAGAAATGGCAGAAACACATTATATCATGATAAATGTAGTATTTTATAATGGTTACATGACTATGTAGAGTTGTCAATAAACAATGAATGGTATATATAAAACTGGTGTTGCAGATAAATTATACTCCAATAAAGCTAAAGCACAGAGCTAAGATACTTGGGAGAAAATTATTATTATTTTTCATAGATTCATTTATTTTTATTGGAAGGCAGATATACAGGGAGGAGGAGAGACAGAGAGGAAGATCTTCCAGCCATTGATTCACTCCCCAAGTGGCCACAATGGTCGGTGCTGAGCTGACCTGAAGCCAAGAGCTTCCTTCAGGTCTCCCACATGAGTGCAAGGTCCCAAGGCTTTGGACTGTCCTCTACTGCTTTCCCAGGCCACAAGCAGGGAGCTGGATGGGAAGTAGGGCTGCCGGGATTAGAACTGGCACCCACAAGGGATCCTGGTTGCATGCATGGCAAAGGCTTTAACCATTAGGCTACCGTGCCGGCCCTGGGAGCAAATTATTAAATGATCAGGCTCACAATATAAGCAAGAAGTACTATGATTAGCATTTGGAAATATACATGAAACTTAAGCAACTTAGCACAATTTATTTAAAACTGATATTCATTATTTTTTTACACAAAAAAATCTTAACAGATATCAAAAACCACATTCCACAGTCTTCTAAACTCTGCTTAGCTAGCAAAGTATCATAAGAAGCCAAGCTACCTGTAATCTCCAAACTACCTTATCTTTTCCAATCTCTGTCCTGTCCTCAAGTTTTCCCTTTGGCCACTGACCTTTAAGTGTCCCTTATCCACCCCACTGTGCCCCCAGCTATGGGTGTGGCCAAATGCTGTTTATTTTGCAGGATCAGACTTTCACCAAAGATCAGAATCTGGGTTAAACATTCCAGAGCCTTCATATCTACTTCTGACAACATTAAACACATTGCATTGTGAATATCATTTACACAACTGCTGTTTCACCAATTAAGCCAGAGAGCAGCAAGGATTGGTGGTTTCCCACTTTTTGAATGTTTCTTTGGTAAAATCATTTGGTACAAAGTAGGCATTTAACATACATTTATGAACATATCAAGAGCACACCTGCTTAAAATTTTATGGTTCAAAGGCAAAGATGTTTTTTACAGCGGGGATAAGGGGATTCATTTCCTTTGCATGAATCACATAATTTTCTCTTAAAGATGAGGAACAGATGAATTTATAAAGCTCTATAGCCTTTCCAGAGAATCACAACAAAGAGTCCATAAGAAATACAGGAGTGCAACACAAGTTGGAGATGCAACAACAACTATACTTAACTAATATATATAAACACCACAAAAATTTTACAGAAAAGTGAGCATTTGGCCTAGTGGGTAAGATGCCACTCTGGGGCCTAACGGGGTAGCCTAGTGGCTAAATTCATGCCTTACATGCACACCAGGATCCCATATGGGCGCTGGTTCATGTCCTAGCTAATCCACTTCCCATCCAGCTCCCTGCTTGTGGCCTGGGAAAGCAGTAGAAGACAGCCCAAAGCCTTGGGACCCTGCACTCATGTGGGAGACCTGAAGGAAGCTCCTGGCTTCAGTTCAGCTCAGCACCGACCATTGTGGCCACTTGGGAAGTGAATCAGTGGACAGAAAATCATTCTCTCTGTGTCTCCTTCACTCTGTAAATCTGACTTTCGAAAACAAACAAACAAATCTTCAAAAACAAAAAGATACCATGCCATTTGGGATGCCTGAATCCCACAATACCTTCAGTAGAAGCCCAACTCTGCTTCCAATTCTGCTTTCTGTACATGTGCAACCTGGAAGGCAGCAGGCTGCTAGATGGTTCAAGTAATAAGGGCCCAGTTAGCTACATAGGAGGTCTGGATTGAGTTCCTGGCTCCTTGCTTTAGCCTACTCTAGTTCTGGCCATTTGTGCATTTCAGGATTGCGTCAACAGGTGGGAAGAGACTCTTTCGTAAACATATTTTCATAATTTTTAAAAAAATTTGTACTTCCTATACCTGTAAATACTTTTTTAAAGCTCATGGAATCATATTATTACAAGTTTAATACATTTGCAGAGAGAGAGGAAAAAAAAATCCATGCAGTTCTTTTCATAACATACTTTTCCCAGGATCTCTGAAGACTCTTTAGTATGCAAGGACTTAAATTTCCTTTGCACAAAAATAAATTTACCTTTCACTTATTTCATTTATTTGAAAGGCAGAGAGACACACACAACACATATGGTCACATACATACACAGAGAGAACTCCCACCCACTCTCTGGTTTACTTTACAAACGCCCACAACAGTGGGGGAACAGTCAGACCACAGTCAGACGCCAGGAGCTTCAGAGGGTCTTGTGACAGGGATCCAAAAGCCTGAGCCATTATCTACTGCTTCCCTGGCACACATAAACAGGAAGCTGAAATGAAGTGGGGCGGCGTGGAAGGCAGAACTCCGAAGCCAAGCCGCTCAAGCGGCATGCTATTTAAACAAAGGGAAGCCAGTATTGCAGACGATGACTTTACCTACAACGCCACAATGCCAGCCCTATCTTGCTATTTTTTCAACAACTGATTTTAACTCATTTTCATTTTATTTGAAAGGTAGACAGGTAGAGAGGCATCTTTCATCACTGGTTCACTTCCTAATGTCCACAACAGCTGGAAGCCCAGAACTCAGTTCAGGCTTCCCACACGGCTGGCAGAGGCTATAGTCATACCTGTTGCCTTTCAGTGCATACATCAGCAGGAAGCTGGATTCGCAGCAGAGGACCCAGGATTAGAATCAGATACTCTTGACACGGATACAGATACAAGCAAGTACTGACTGCATATTGTACCAAATGCCACTCTTTGTCCTAATTCTATTTTCCGTAATTTTTTGAAGCCCCTTTGTGCTTAATTTGGTAATTATTTTTAAAGATTTGTTTATTTTTATTGGAAAGGAAGTTTAAAAGAGAGACAGAGAAAGATCTCTCATCTGCTGTTTCACCCCTCAAATGGCTGAACTGCCAGAGCTGAGCTGATCTGAAGCCAGGAGCCAGGAACTTCTTCTGGGTCTCCCACGCAGGTGCAGGATCCCAAGGCTTTGGACCATCCTCTACTGCTTTCCCAAGCCACAAGTGGGGAACTGGCTAGGAAGCAGAGCGTCTAGAACATGAACTGGTGCTCATATTGGATCCCAGCAGATACAAAGGGAAGGATTAGCCAATTAAGCCATTATTTTGGCCTTCCTAAATTGGCCATTTTTTTTTAAAAGCAAAACAAGTCAAATTAATTACAGAACAAAAATGTAATGCCAGAGCTAAGAATTTGTGATGCGTTACATTAAGAGCGCTATGGATCTGATATATTACACTGGAGTTCACCAAAGGGACTGATAAAAAAAAAATTATGAAGTGAAACAATGCAAGGCAAGGACTTTAATCACTACCCCATCTTGCCGGGCCCTAAAGCATTTTAAAGTACATTTTTTTCACTCCAACACTGACAGGGAACACCATCACAGATTAATTCCAGGATTTAAAGACACAATCTCATTCAAAGATACATTCTAAACAGCTTCTCCAGATAAGGGGACCACAGGAACAAAGCCACGTGCAAATTCCAGATATGTAAAAACATAAAAACAGGTGTGTTAGAATTGAGGCAATGAGGTATCTATGGAAGAGCCATCTGCAATTACCAGTTGTGGTTATGAAACTTAAAAAATCAGAGTCAGGGTCCAGCATGGTCGCCTAGGGGCTAAAGTCCTCGCCTTGGGCACGCCCGGATCCCATATGGGTGCCAGTTCTATTCTAATCCCGGCAGTCCTGCTTCCCATCCAGCTCCCTGCCTGTGGCCTGGAAAGCATTTGAGGATGGCCCAAAGCCTTGGGACCCTGCACCCGCGTGGGAGACCTGGAAAGAAGTTCCTGGCTCCTGGCTTCAGATTGGCACAGCACTGGCTGTTGCCATCATTTGGGGAGTGAATCATCGGATGGAAGACCTTCCTCTCTGTCTCTCCTCCTCTCTGTATATCTCTGACTTTGCAATAAAAATAAATAAATCTTTAAAAATAAGTAAATTTTTATTTTATTTTTTTAAAGATTTATTTTTATTATTTTTCATTGGAAAGGCGGATATACAGAGAGGAGAGACAGAGAGGAAGATCTTCCGTCCGATGATTCACTCCCCAAGTGAGCGCAACGGGCCAATACTA